TACTTCCGAAAACACGAACTGACAAAACTTGAAAATATTTACTTACACACGTGGAAATTAAATTAATTTAAACGGCGCGTGCATCTTTGCCAGCCACGTGTTCAACACTGTCGGCGATTATTTGTTGGTATGTAAGGTTTCTGCTCACCAATGGAAAACCTAGTCGGTCGCGTGATAAGTGGGGGAGAGACAGTGTCTCACTGTAGGACCTGTCTCACTGTTGGGCTGGCTCCCCTACTGCTCCAAAAAATACTGGGAACTGGTCGATGAAAAGAAAAATATATATTCATCAAAATTCATTCTATCACCTTCGAAATGACCCCTTCCGAGGTAATACACTTACGCCAACGAACTACTCAATCATCAAAATATTTTTTGAACTCATTTTTTGGAATTTACTTCAGTACTAGCTCCGAATACTCTTTTTCAGCTCAAGATGCTTTACAAGTTGGTCATAGTCTTCCTGTTCCTGGGCCGTGAGGGTTTGCAGAATATTCGTTGCTTCTGGCCGCAGCTTCAAATTGTCGGTGGTAATTTGCCCGAGGAGTTTTTCCGTCGAACTGGGGCGGCTTCATGGAGAGCTTTCCTGGTTCAGAACTGGCTTTGAACTTTTAGTTTCGGAATGGAGATTTCGGTAACATTTTCTGTGGTGTGGGCAGAATTAATGATTTGGTTTTACATCTTGTTAATTGTTTTTTTTATCTTGCTGATACTGCTACTACTAGTGCTGCCTCTCGTAACACGTTCGCTGTACTATTCTCAGGAAAAAGGCTCATTGAAACGCTCTGTATCTGGTTGAATGTGACACTTGATCGAGGAATATCTATTTGAACCACAGCACATCTGTAAATTTTATAAGTTGAATAATAATAACTATTTAACTGGTTGAAAGCGAAGTCCGAGAAATGCAGAGAAAAAAATGTATTCAAAATGTTATGCGATTCTTGTTTATAACTCAAAAAAATTGACAATCAATTCTATTATCTATGATATATCTGTGAGAATAATATTTTTATTACATTTCAGTCGCAATTGATCTGATTGTACAACACATCCGAGATATTTTAAACGATAGGAGGAGTTCGGAAGAACGGCAGATCAGCCCTCCAAAAATACATCAACATCATACTTCTCAAGGTTCCCCATCCAGGCCTCCTAGAAATGTTAATGCTGAAGCCTTGTTTGAAAGAAGGCATTAGAAGAGAAGATGCTAGAGAATGTAAATGTAATTTATTCGACATTTGTTGAAATAGGGGAGGGGGAATTTAGTTATTTTTTTCAGGGGCACTTTTTTGAGAAAGTCAATACAGGGAGATTGACTTGAATAAAGGTCTGGTAGTTCTAAATTTTCGACATGTCATCTAGGATTATTGAACGCGTTTAAAAACCGAAAAAATTTGGAACTTTCTCCACACTACTTATATCTAATTTTTTTTTTATATCTTTTTCCTAATATCAACTGTATTCATCATACCTCTGGTCGGTTTGTCATCTTCTATGAATACATCTTCCAAAAAATGTATCAAAGCATATGATAACGCCTGTGAGACAGATATGTAAGACAAAAAACTAATACGATTCCACTTGAGAAACGTGTTGTTTCATTTTATATAGTTGGCAATAAAATTATTGAACTTTTCTTTATCACTTGCGAAAATTAAAACTTTTTGGCTTGGCATTTGTCTAAGCAAATTGTTTCTCTCTTAATGAGTCACTTGCCAATGGAAGTAGATAATATTTACAAACGAATTATCTCAATGTAAGCGTTGGTTCATTCTATTGGCATACAGTTTACAATATGGAAACATTTCAGGATAATTCGATTCCAAGAACTTGTCGTTTCCAGTTTCCATATATTTCATTGTCCAGCCAAACATTTCTCCTGTCAACTAGCAGGTGTTTTCTTTCAACTCCAAACTATCTCGATTTTTTTAAAGTTCTTTAACATTGTTCCAGAGTGACATATGTCAAACTCGTAGGTCCTATCCCCATAGTTCAACAGGAGATAAACTGAATTCTTATTTCCCTTTCTCCATGAAATCAACCAATGTCGAACCTCTTACAAGTGTCTAGTTTATTTTTTGTTGCTTTGCCTTAACAAGCAATAATTTAGATGCATAAGACTCATTTCAAATATGTGGGTTCTAGGAGTAGCTTTCCTGCATGTGATTTGACATTAAGAGTAATGGAATGTATAAATATAATAATGAGTTATATAAATCAGGGACACTTCTGTCTTTGGATCGTCTAAGCCGATATAATAATAATATAAAATTTTATAATCCACTTGAGAGTCTTTCAAAAAGAGAATAATAAAGGTCCCCTTCATTCACGCCGGTTTCCAGGCCGGGACAGACAGGGGACTGTATATGTGGGAAAAAAATCAAAGGGTCTCCGTAGCAGGNTATATTGTGCTCTCTATATGTTACAAATTGTGACATCTAAAAAACGGATGTAGAGAAAAATGTATCATCGAATTAAGAGCAACTATACTCTATCAATTATCATAGAAGGCAGCTTTGACATTGAATTTTGATTCTTCAGTTTCTGTGTTTATAGAAGAAAATCGTAAAACCTAGGAGTAGAGGGTGTTTTAACATACATGTAGTAACATGTTTGCACTTTAATTTCAATACATGATTTTTGTGCCTCTTTTTGTTGAGCATATTGTTATATAATGTTTATAAAATAAATATATGCTACATGTCAATGGACCTTCACAGTGATATTGAGATAACCCCAAAGGTGAAAACTACATGTACGATAATAGCACTTCGTTTTTTTAGTAGTTTTTTGTTTTTTTGGCAACACCGTAAACTTATTCATATTGCATTGTTTGATTTTCTTCTTCTGTATTCTTGTTGTTCTGGCTGTCCGTACGACATTGCCAACTTGTCTTTTTGAGGTTGATTCAATGGTTCGTTCCGAAATTGAGAAGAAGTTCATACCACGAAACAAAAACTTTGTTTGGAATTTTGTTAAAGTGATATTTGATTGAGTAGTACAGATTGGTAAGTTATGTCATTTATTCATTCATGTACTTTTTCTGCTTTACAAAAATCATATACATTTTGGAACGTGGTTTGGAAGAGGGGGTAAAATTCAATGGTAGTGAAGTTCACAGTTATTTTTGAAACCTCGATTTTCCTGAACCATTTTTTCATATATCTATCAACGAACAATATTGATTTCATCATTTTCTTCGGAAAGTGTTTGCTCTAACAATAAAAATAGGGAGTTTACTTTTATTATAGGGTCGTGAATATCCCTTCTCAGAAATATATCAATGATAAATTGAATGACTCATTAGTTTAAGCCCATTCCTTTCTCCCTGAAACAAAATTATGGGTGCGCCATTGATCAGTGAGGGGTCTGCTCTAATTGAATGATTTAAAAGTGTGCCTCCAGCAATCAAATACCCACTTAGTATATCAGTAATGGAGGGCACTCCATTCCTTTGAAAACAATTATATTTTTGAGTGTCTGTAGATGTAGGGCTTGCATAAAGTGTTCGGAATTTCTGGTGTCGTTTTCAATTACAAGGTTTGAAATTTATAAAGTATAGTGGATTGTTTCAAATTATTGTTTTTGTGAAATCGTTAGATTTTGAGTGCGTATAACACTCAAAAGCAATATAAATATTGCTTTTGAGTGTCATACACACTTGACGAACACCAATCGGCATATGCTGTCTCAAATTTCAGGTTATGTGATTGATCAGTGACATTTAATGAGATTGGCGAGACTAAAAGTGATCATATTTGTAACTCAAATGGCAATTGCAAGAAAAATTGTGGTAATAAATTCAGATTCGCTCATTTTCTACTACTGCAATGATAATTACAACAAATCACAATGAGAATTGTAAAGCGGCCATTACATGAACCATTGATATATCTACAGTTAGAAAAATATTGCTGGTATTCTGCCCGGATTTTGTTTTCTCTGAGTTCTGCTTGAGAAGGGATATTTACTTTTCTGACTCGTTATTCATTTTATGCTCCCTATACTGATTTACGAAAGTGGAAGTGGTATAAAAACTAAGCAACATTTTTCAAAACGCGGTACTTGCTTTTTTCAATAGTATTACATAAATTATTTCAATTGTTTATTTGTTGTTTGTTATACCTACTTTTCGAAAATGAAATAAAAAAATTGTTGATAAAAATGTTTGTCTTTCATTCTATATTGTAATAACCTTTCTACAAAAATTAAATATTACGAATGAAACTAGCTTGGGCACACCACAGAAGATTATTACATGGGCGTTTTTAGTTGATTTCACAAATGCTTTCATCTTGCATTATAAACCAAGTTTCATATCCTATTTCAAAGCCAACTAGAATGCGTTTTAACGAATAATTTTGTCTGAATATCTTTGAGTTTTGTTCAATAAAAATTAATCTTTGAAATATCAAATGTGCTTTCACTGTTGCTTTATTCAATTTTGATCTGTTTAAATCTGTTTAAAATCTGTTTTTCCGTTAGCTGTCGCCCCCATACTAACGATAACTCTCAGAAGTTGAGAAATTTGTGCGAGCTAAAGACTAAAGAGGTCTTACCTTTCAACGTGTGATTCCTAACACCTAACCTAATCTAACACGGTGATGTATAAATGATTATGGTGTCATTTGTAAAAAATTACATTCTGAAAACATGAATGTTTATTAGAAATTTTCCAAAAAAGATGAGTTAGGTACCATTACGAAAATGTCAAAAGGAATGTACAAAAATATGAAGAAACACAAGCTAGTAAAGTTGATACTGGAATAGAAGAAAACAGCCGAAAACAAAGGTGAAATAAGCTACAATTTTTGGAGTATTCGGACGAGGATTTGCTCAGGACAGTTAAGAGCATAGAAAGAGGTGAAATCTTTCTCAGTTATGCGCCCAGACTTCATAACATTCCAAAAAGCACATCGTTACGAATTGAAATACTCGTGGAGGGAAGATGAGACCAATTTCCATTTTTAGTGAAAACAAACAGAGTGAATTGGTTACTGGAAACAAAGCAAAGTTAGAATTCCAAAACATCTCAAAGCTTTGTATGAGACCAAACCCTTTCAAAGATAACTGACTAGTAAATGGATGGTTATCTTCGTTCCTCAGACGTTCTTCTGAGATCATCAAAATAAACACCAAGGCCATTTCCAAGGCACGAACTGCTGTGTGGACCACCATGGAACAATATAGCATTCAAAAATACGTGCAAATAATAAAATTGCTTTATCAAAATGCGCGTTGCGCGGGCAACGTACCGCGCGCTTTTACGGTCGCCATAATCGTCCTACTGAGAGAATTATTCGCATTATGGTGGATAAATTTGAATCCACTGGTTCAGTAAACGATCGACCAACACCTGTACGTCGACGAAACGCGAGATCCGCCCATCACATCGCCGCTGTCTGTGAGAGTTTGCAGGAGAATCCGAACCAGTCGATTTCGCGTCGCTCACAAGAATTGAGCCTTTCGCAGATCACAACTTGGCAAATTTTGCGTCGTTACTTAGGTCTGCACCCGTACAAAATTCAACTGACCCAGGAGCTAGATGTAAACGAGCATAGACATCGACGTGTGTTCACTGAACTGGCTCTGGAGCAGCTGGCAACTGAGCCTAATTTTAATTAACCATCAGGCCCATTCCTAGATGAATGGGTAAGTGAACAAACAAAATTGTCGGATTTAGAACGATACCAATCCACATGAGATCCAAAAGCGTCCAATGTATCCCGAAAAAGTCACTGTTTGGTGTGGATTTTGGGCTGGCGGCGTCATATCGATCCATATTTCTTTGAGAACGACGTTGGCCAGGCCATAACTGTCAACGGCGAGCACTATAGGTCGAAGATTACCAACTTCTTCCGGCCTGAAATGGATGATCTGGACACCAACGACATGTGGTTTCAACAGGATGGGCTACGTGCCACATAGGGGTGATTTTTCAAGAGGTATAGGATTTGATTTTCAAAATAACACAAAAAATCTGAAAAAAAATTGATGAAATTTTTATTGGAATCGATAAAACGATCAATATTATTCAATGTTTGAAGATGATTTCATGCAAATGTTGTCCGCGGCTCCGCTTTAGATGGCCCATTCGCAAGGTCCAATTTTGGCACACTCTCTCTAACATATCGACCGGTATTTCACGAATAAATGCTTCAATTTGTCTTCCAGAGCGTCAGTCGTTGGTGGTGTATCCCTGTAGACACGAGCCTCAACATGACCCCACAAGAAATAATCCAAAGGCGTCAAATCACACGATCTAGGCGGCCAATTGACGGGCCCCAAACGTGAGATAAACTGTTCACCGAAGGCGGTTCTTAATTGGGCCATTGCTTAGCGTGCCGTGTGGCATGTAGCACCGTTTTCTTGAAACTACATGTCAGGCATGTCCAATTCTTCCATTTTGGGCGACAAAAGTCGTCAGTCATCACACGGTAGCGCTCGCCATTCACAGTAACGTTCCGGCCATTGTCGTCTTTGAAGAAGTACGGCCCGATGATGCCACCGACCCATAATTCACACCAAACAGTGACTTTCTCGGGATTCATCTGTAGCTCTTGCAATGCTTGTAGCTGATCTTCACTCCAGTTGCGGCAATTTTGCTTGTTAACGTATCCTTTCAACCAGAAATGAGCCTCGTCGCTGAACACAATTTTTCGATAAAAATGTGGATCTTTCTCCAACTTTGCCAGCGCCCATTCACCAAATAGACGTTTTGGGAGGTCGCGTGGCTTCAATTCTTGCACCAGCTGTATCTGATGAGGTTTTACACCCAAATCCTTTCGCAAAATTTTCCACGTAGTGGAGTAACAGAGGCCAAATTGCTGCGAATGGCGGCGAATCGTCCACTTTTGTTTATCATTTACGTGAATGACATTTCATCTTTCATGAACCCCTTCAAAACTGTTACCTTTGCAGATGATACAACCTTCATCTATTCACATAGAGAGTCATCAGAACTCACTAAAGTATCTGAACAGGTAGAAGATAAAACCACAACTTGGTTCTCAGTTAACCGTTTCAAGTTAAACTCAGAAAAAACTAAAAAATTATGTTTTTCTTTTAGTAATACTTCATCAGGTATAAATACAGTAAAATTATTGGGCATTACCTTAGATAGTACTCTCACCTGGTCTCACCATATCGTCCAACTAAATTATGTAGAACTCTTTTTCTTTTACGACAACTTGAAGATATTACCAGTTATGATATCCTTAAAATGACATATTTTTCACTTTTTCACTCGCATATAACCTATGGTGTTATACTTTGGGGTAACTCCACTAATGCCTTGCAAATCTTTGAACTTCAGAAAAAAGCTATCAGAATTTTAAGTAATGCCGGTTACAGAGATCATTGTCAACCCTTTTCTTAAAACTGAAAATAATGCCGCTACCA